ATCAACGCGACCAAGGCGAAATTATAAAAATTTTTATAAACTTTTTTAAGGTTTGGACAAGTCCTGAGCCTAGTCGGGTAGACAAAAAGAGCATACTCAGAATTTCGCATTGGCACTCAAAATCTTGGCTTAATGTTGAAACCCTCATATTCGGTAGGTTGAACTTACACTAGGCCTTAACGTCGTATGTACAAGTATACCTATGGTCAAAATAAAAGGAGTGCGACATTTGACTATTTTTCTTTTGTTGGTTTAATGTTCAACAATTTTTTAAAAAGTGTAGCTTGTTATATAACAAAAAACCATATAAATCCTAATTTAAACCTTCGTACGAAAATTAGAAAAAATCTACCAATTTAAACAAAATTACATCAAATACATTTTTTTATCAGAAGTATGCATTTTTTTGTTTTTTTTCTGCTGGCGTTGTTAAGCTTTTTTTCCATATACATAAAAATATTTCAATCATTGTTTATATGGGCGAAATTACAACTCACGTAGTTGCCATCAAACAAAAATATTTTTTTTCGGTTTTGCCATACGGGTTGGATTTTTAGACAAAAATGTGTATTACAAAACGTGAAAAATGCTATAGGGGATTTTCATTTTAAACCGAACCGAACCATATTTTGGAGTGGTTTTTGGTTTGGGATTTCAAAAGAAAAACGGTTTTCTTCGCGGTTCGGTTCGGAGTCCGAAAAAAGGCGACGGTTCGGTTCAAGACCGGTTTGCAGCCCTGTTAAAAAGTCTGCATAAAATATTAAAACAAAAAATTTCAACGGAATCATAGCAATGAGATTTTCGATGCTGTTTTTAAATTTTTTCAAAGTTTGGTAAAACAAAAACTTGAATAAATCAGTCAAAACTTTACTTTGCAAGTATGAATGAGAAAGGTAAGATAAACGAACGGGATCCCGAGTAGAATTGAAATGTGTTGATATTTGAAAAAGGAGAAATTGGGACGTTAATGAGTTCGTTTTGCAAGGAAATAGAAATGATCTAAATCGGTATAGTTTTGGTCTAGTTATTCAAGTTTTTCGCAATATTTTAAAAAGTTAAAAAAATGCATCAAAAATATCTTTATTATGATTCTGTTGAAAAATTTTTTAAATATTTGTATGCAAATTTTTTAAGCTTAAACTGTTTTGTCATGTGAGGGATTAATTTTTTTTTTTTTCAAAAATCCTTTAAGAAACAATTTTTATTTATAAACAACTCTATCTTTAGAGGAAGCTGGAATCCGGTCCAGCTCATATACATAAATCTTAGTATTTTTCCGAAATATTTTGATGGAAGTCTTCAAATATAAGAAATTTTGTAATTCCGGCAAAAAAAAACCGAAAAATTTTATGTTGATGCAGTCCAATATGTATATATATGTACATTAGACCGTACCGAACAAAAATTTTCTTTGTGGATCGCTGAATTTGAAATATGTTTGAAAGGCAATTTCGAACAAAAAATCTCTGTTAGGCCTAACCTTTTTTACCTATTTTTGTATATTTTTAACCGACTTCCAAAAAAGGAGGAGGTTATCAGTTCGTCGGAATCTTTTTTTTTTTTTTTTTTTTTTTTTTT